ATGGTATCCAGTGTCCAACAATAAGTTCATACACCATTTGTTTCCTTAGGATCCTGGAGCCCATGTACACCATTGAATTGGATTCAGGATTTCCCAACTCCCCTAAGTGAATATTCTGTACCCAGCAACCCGGTTAAAGCACCGGATATTCACTTTTCGTCCTCTCCATTTCGTAAACAACTCTTCCACAGCTAGAAGGCAGTGATTAGGATTTCTCTGGAAGTGACTGTATAAGCGTAACCACATGAAAGCATTTCGCAAGGAAAAAAGGAGTCTCCCCACACTCAGTCGTACCAGGGGTTTGGGCGTTAAATCACTACTAACTAATCATGTACCGGTTATTTGGTTATATATTGTTAAAAACCTAATTATATAGACATTATGATTATCTATTTATTGTCTGTTATGATATTGTAATTAATTTCTATTAATATATATTTTTAAGCTGTGATAATAGGAAATAAATATCGAATAGCTGCTCTTATATTCTGATTGATCAATTTGAGAACAGAAACAATTCAAATGGGCCAATTCGTGTCAGCACAATTATTGAATATATAGTTTACAAAAAGGTTATTATTATTATTATTATTATTATTATTATTAATGACGTAAAATGGACCCGCCAACAATGAACTTAGTAATTTAGGGGTTCCTACTAAGTCAGCACCAACACCAAGGTCAGGATTTTCAATACAAATTTCAACACAGTTCTACTGTAACTGGCGGAAACCTGGAGAACTACCAAAGCTATCATCCAGAAAATACAGATGTTTATTAACAGTTGTCTACACAAAATACTTCAGATCCGTTGGACAAACACTATTAGTAACAACCAACTGTGGGAGAGAACAAACCAGATCTCAGCGAAGGAAGAAATCAGGAAGAAGCGCTCGAAGTGGATAGGACACACATTGAGGAAATCACCCAACTGCGTCACAAGACAAGCCCTCACATGGAATCCTTAAGGCCAAAGGAGGAGAGGAAGACCAAAGAACACATTACGCCGAGAAATGGAGACAGACATGAGAAAAATGTACAAGAATTGGATGGAGCTAGAAAAGAAGGCTCAGGACAGAGTGGGTTGGAGAATGCTGATGGGTGGCCTATGCTTGATTGGGAGTAGCAGGCGTAAGTAAGTAAGTACTAAGTCAGCATATTTAGTTAGTTTAAATGAAATAGATGTAAGAGAATTCATTCGCACATGTGATTTACTTACTAAAAGCCTGTTATATCGCCGATAAGCCTAATGAATGGTAATGAATGGTATTACATTTATTATAATTCCGTTATTCGCTAACACAAATGAAGTCGATAATTACATACGACGGTAGCTGACATATGAATGTATTCATTAAGGCCTTATGAAAATTAATTTCTAATTTATCAAACTATTTGAAATGACGTAATAGTTTAATTTAACTAAATTTTCATTAATGAATATATATCATGAGTCATTTGAAGCTAGATCATCATGGAAAAGCTAGAAGCACGGAATGGCCGTTTCGTCCTATTATCTGACTACTCAGCTGTACACAACCACGACATTGCCTCGCAAGATTCAAACCCATGACCTATCAGTTACGCGAATGAGCGGTTAATCATTAAACCACTGAGCCAGTCGGCATCCAATGGTGTTAATGTCTAACTTTAACTAATCCACGAAATTAAGCAACACATCCACCATTGTCATTAGTGAGTTACTATCTCACAATAGACCTGGTTGAACTCCATTGATCACTGCTTCTCATTAGAACTAGAACAAGACAAAAAGGTCGTCCAGTGCTTCCAGATTTTCCATGGTGGTCTAGCTTCAATTGATTCATGATCTCAACTATTAAAATTACTATAATATCCACAAGAAACCCCTTCGAATATATTTGTATATATATATATATATCTTAAATGAATTTCCTGTTTTTAGTGCAATCTATATATCCCTAATTGATTAAACTGTTAATATTGAATAAATGGTATGTTCATTTAGATGTAATTAGTTCTTTTTTCATATTTTATGTGATCCTGTAATTTAGGAAATCATTTTATGAACAAATAAATTATTGAATTAATATTAAAACAAACAAACAAACCTGGAAGTAATAGATGGCTATTACATCCTATGATGGAACTCCTCAGCAGTGAGCATCCATGATCTCGCTTCACAACATTCTTCATCAAATACTTCCAAGTATTCGATGATTGTTTAACTTGAATTGATTCATGATCTTAACTATTGAAATGACTATAATCTCCACACAAAACCCCTTCTGAAATGAATTATCTATCTATTATTCAGTTTTGTATCACTTATGACCTACTTACTTTACTTACTTACGCCTGCTACTCCCAATCAAACATAGGCCACCCATCAGCATTCTCCAACCCACTCTGTCCTGAGCCTTCTTTTCTAGCTCCATCCAATTCTTGTTCATTTTTCTCATGTCTGTCTCCATTCCTCGGCGTAATGTGTTCTTTGGTCTTCCTCTCCTCCTTTGGCCTTAAGGATTCCATGTGAGGGCTTGTCTTGTGACGCAGTTGGGTGATTTCCTCAATGTGTGTCCTATCCACTTCCAGCGCTTCTTCCTGATTTCTTCCTTCGCTGAGATCTGGTTTGTTCTCTCCCACAGTTGGTTGTTACTAATAGTGTTTGTCCAACGGATCTGAAGTATTTTGCGTAGACAACTGTTAATAAACATCTGTATTTTCTGGATGATAGCTTTGGTAGTTCTCCAGGTTTCCGCCAGTTACAGTAGAACTGTGTTGAAATTTGAATTGAAAATCCTGACCTTGGTGTTGTTTGACAGTTTTTTTCGCGTTCCAGATGTTATTCAGTTGTAAATATCCTGCTCTTGCTTTGCCGATCCGCTCCTTCATATCTGCATCAGATCCATCCTGTTCATCAATGATGCTGCCCAAATATGTAAATGTTTTTACATCTTCCAAATCGTCTCCGTCAATTGTGATTGGATTGTTGCATGTTGTGTTGTATCGGAGAATCCTGCTTTTCCCTTTGTGTATATTGAGACCTATTGCTGGTGAGGCTACTGCCACACTGTTCGTCTTCTCCTGCATTTGTTGTTACGTTTGGGATAGAAGAGCCAGATCATCTACGAAGTCCAGATCGTCCAGTTGCATCCTAGATGTCCCACTTATGACCTAGTTATATACAAATGATAGTTTCTTATTTATGGTACATAATGATCATGTAGTTAAATTACATAGACAATGTAAGGTGTATATATCTATGTGTTTTCTTTGTTCTATTCAAGTTTGTTCATAGTTCACTTATTCTGACTAGACATTAAGAATAAATGGAGTAATGTGGACTAACAGGGGATTATGATATTTTGGTCACTATCAATGATCCTTTTGTATTATTGGTAAAAATATATAAAAGTTTGATTGTTTTCAGTGAACTCCTTATTTTAGTGAATTATGTAATTGATTCAAGTAGACCATTACAATACACATAGAAAATGGAAGTAATAATAGATTATGTTATTAAAACAAATAAATGGGCATGACTCTAATAAATGAATGAATGAATGAACCAATCAGATATAAGAAAAAAAGATTTCGAATGTTTTGGCGCGAAATTCACTCATCGATTTGAATAAATACAACTTTAGTATTATAGGTGATATCAGTTCGTAATGAAAACCCTAAATCTAATTCGTTATCTTAATTATTAATTTTAAATCATAATTCTAATTCCTCATACAGATTCATCATTCTCAATTTAGATCCTGGTTATAAGGTGAACAATCTGAAGATTAGCCGAATGTCGCTCAAAGAACATTGTTCACTACAAAAGTAGTTGATTAACTCATTGATTTTTTTTATTGTATAGGACAAATCAAAATGATTTGAACTTTGAATACTGATTGTCAGAATAACATAAAACATCACTTGAATCATTATAAACATTTACATTGTAAGTTTGTCAAAGAATGAATTAGTTTAGATGATTTGATCTTCATAGCATTAAACGAAGTAACCAACAATAATGTCTTATGTGAGAATCTTTGGTTAACTAAATACATTATGAGTAATTTGTTTAAGATGTGTCAAAACTATTGGTGACAAAGCTTCAATTTATCACTTGATTGTAACATGTTTCATGGATTTTCACTACTTACTGATATCAGTCTATGATAATGAAAGTTAAAGTATGCAGAATTGTATAAGCTTAGTCAGATGTAATAAAATAAGTTAGTGATCGGTGATTCTATCTATCTATCTATCTATCTATCTATCTATCTATCTATCTATCTATCTATCTATCTATCTATCTATCTATCTATCTATCTATCTATCTATCTATCTATCTATCTATCTATCTATCTATCTATCTATCTATCTATCTATCTATCTATCTATCTATCTATCTATCTATCTATCTATCTATCTATCTATCTATCTATCTATCTATCTATCTATCTATCTATCTATCTATCTATCTATCTATCTATCTATCTATCTATCTATCTATCTATCTATCTATCTATCTATCTATCTATCTATCTATCTATCTATCTATCTATCTATCTATCTATCTATCTATCTATCTATCTATCTATCTATCTATCTATCTATCTATCTATCTATCTATCTATCTATCTATCTATCTATCTATCTATCTATCTATCTATCTATCTATCTATCTATCTATCTATCTATCTATCTATCTATCTATCTATCTATCTATCTATCTATCTATCTATCTATCTATCTATCTATCTATCTATCTATCTATCTATCTATCTATCTATCTATCTATCTATCTATCTATCTATCTATCTATCTATCTATCTATCTATCTATCTATCTATCTATCTATCTATCTATCTATCTATCTATCTATCTATCTATCTATCTATCTATCTATCTATCTATCTAGTTATCTAACTAAATT